CTAGAATAACTATATATCATCACTTATCACTGACTCATTCTCTACTCACTCATTCGTCCATACACGCAATACTTATTGTAGGCCTAACATACTCCAGGCATAATGGCAGGCTCATGAACATTTGTTAAGCTGATGTCCCTACTAAGCATTAGTTTATTAGGGGTTCCCATGTTGTGAATGGAACCTCCAGCCTTCATGAAAGCTCACTGTCCATGCCCTACTAGTCTTCCACGATTGGCTAATACTGTTTATTTACAACTTCAGCATTTGGGGCAACCCAACTAGATTAGGAGTCCAGAGAACTGGATCTGAGTCCCCAAAACACAATGAAAATCTAGAGGCAACACAGGCCAATGGCTACAATTCTGAGCTCGGGTCCACAGGTTGTAAAATCAGGTTCTATCACTTACAAACTGTGGAACCTTAGATAAGGCACTTTCTTCACACTGCCTCCATTTATTTTCCACCTGTAGAGTGGGAAACATATCAGTACCTCTCCTTTAAGGTCAATGGGAAGGTCTAAAATTATAACATTTGTCAAGTAATTAGAATAGTGCCTGAAACAGAGTAAGCATTCAAAAATAAAGCTATTATTGTTTTCATTTTTACTGTCACTGTCATTATGGGCAAAGAAAGGAAGGTGGGCCTCCGTTTTTTGTGAAATATATAACTCTGAAAGTAGAAAGTGATGTAATGAGACTAAGGTCTAACTTCCATTGTTCCTCAGAGATCATGCTAGTAGCCCCTCCTCTTTCAGAGGCGAGGACCTTGAGACCCAGAGAGGAAAAAGATACCCAGCAATTCCATGGCAGGACCAGGGCTAGAATCCGGAGGCCCCTTGGACTTCCAGCCCACCATGCCCTCCACGGAGCTGAGAACTGCCAGAGAAAGTGTGCAAGTTTACCTAAGAGTCCGGCCAACCAGATACATTATTCTTTTTTTCAGACTTCATTTCACTGTTAAAATTTCCAGTTAAAAACCATTTCCCCTAAATTAAGCCGCCACAATAGGATTTGAGGGAAGTGGCCATACATCGTCCAAAGGAGAGCCTCCTGAGTGTCGTGGCAGGGAGTGTGGGTGTGAGTGAGTGTGTGTGTCTGAGTGTGAGTGTGGGTGTGTGTGTCTGAGTGTGAGTGTGTGTGTGTGGGGGGGTGTGTGTGTGAGTGTGTGTGTGTGAGTGTGTGTGTGTGAGTGTGTGTGTGAGTGTGTGTGTGTGTGTGAACAATAAAATGCTCTCTGCACTCAACCCAGCCAACAGCAACTCAACTCATCACTGAAAGAGGAGGCCGAGGCCAGGCTCGCTCGCCGGGCAGCTGTCTGCTCTGGGAGACAGAGACAGTGGCAGTTCATAAACCTAGGTGTTGTAGCAGCCGCTCCTAACCTCCCGAGACATCCAGAGAGAGCCAATTTGACTGACTGCCTCCACTCCCCTCCCCATCTGCTGCAGAGGAGCCGAGGAGCTCTGTTAGAGTCCCTTTGGTCCCTGCCTCTGGTTTGCACAGCGACAGGCAGGTCATCAGCCTCTGTGATGAATTCCCATTCTCCACTGGCCTGGACTGTACCGCTATCCACACAGAAGTCAGCCCAGCACCGGGATCCAGGAACCTTTCCCACTGGACTCATGGCTATCAAAGGTTTTACAGCATGGCTCACAATGCATCTCCCACTGCCACCTTGCACGTACACACACACACACACACACACACACACACAGGCCACTTCACAGTGCTCACTCTTTCTACATGTGGTATACTCGATGGCATTCATTGGGCTCTGTTTTTTGAATGGTCACACCCCTTACATTAATTTCACGGCTAAGGAGTCACTGGTCTACAGTGTGAAAAAGAAGGGCAAGCATGACTCATCTCCTGAGTCCCAGGCCCTCGCGTCAAGGACACATTCTGTGTTTCTTGGGGGAATAGTTTCTAGTGCCACTTTCTCCCAGGAGTTCCCCGTGCAAGTAGAAAGAGACCAATGTGGGCGTTAGGGTAGGAACGGGGGATGCAGAACAATGCAATCATGATCCCCAGAGCCAGTGGAACCCTCATGGCTTCTTTCCCCAGGCTGCCCTCACTGTTCCCGTTTACTGGCTTCCCTTGAACTTGGGCTTAGAGCATTCAGCTTCTCATGTGCCACTTAGGAACACAGTCATTGCGAGCAGCTGCGTAAGTTCTCTGAGCCTCAGTTTCTCTGTCTGTAAATTGGGGGTTGCTTTTGCGATTAATCACAGAGAGCTTGCAACACTTCCTGGCATCCGCATGCTTGATACGCATCACCTGTTGTTGCTGAGCGTGTCTTTAGCCACAGAATGAGCCAGTGCCCTTCCGCTGTGGAGACCAGAGGATTAGAGGGTTATAATATTCTAGTTATTTTCCTCATCCAGTATGTGGCCAGGTCTGAAAGTCGTCCAAGTGATTGAGACGTGGCAAGCAACTTATGATGGAGGAAGTAGAGATGCTGGTCAGGGAAATAAATTGTGCAGGGAGAATGTGGCACTTGCCCAGGACCTTTCTCTGTTCCTCTTATGAACCAACACTACACATTTATTAGAAATATCTGTCTTCTGTGGCTGTAAATCAGGAACACTGGCAACTAGGGGCCCTATTTCTAGTGCAGTCTTCTCCCCTGGTGGAGTTCCACGGGCTTCCTGATGTCAGCATCGAACAGCTATGGCCCTTAAGCGGCTCAGAGGCCTCCATTCAACCAATAAGTACGGAGGGCCAGGGCCGCCAGCAGCACGACTCCACAAGAACCAGGGCACTTCCCCCAATTCCCTCCATTGATGTCACAAAGGCCACCTCAGTGCAATATCACTTTAGACTCCAGAAGTGAGGAATGGTTGAATCACTCAGGGATGATGACAATGAGGAAGGGGAGGGTGATGAAGAAAAGGGCAGGGAAGAAGCAGTAGGTTACTTCTAATCCTCACACCAACCTTGCCAGATGATACTAATAACAGCCCCCCCCCCACCCACCACCACCACCTTTTATTAGGATACTAAGCCTTGGAGATACTGACATACTGAAGGCCATATAACCATTATATGGCAAGGCCAGGACTTGAATCCAGGGCCATTTGATCCCAAATATGACACTGCTCTTCCCACTATGTTAAGCTGCCTCTCAAAGATGGGTTTTCCCTACCATAGTGAGTCCCAACAGTTTGGATTTCCAACTTTCCTTTAATAATTCCTAGGGGAGCATCTACCAGCGAATCCACCCACTTGTTATTTAAACCCAAGCTCATCTGATCACACCACGGACTCAAAGGGGCCTCTGCACGGCAAGCACTAATCCTGCAAATGGCTTCACGTATTGTAAACCTGAGTTGTTACACAGGTATTCGTGTTTTAAAAAGAGAGAGAGAGAAACCCACTGTGAACAGTATTAAAACAAATTGATTCAATATAGATTTGTATTGTGCAAACTTTCTCGGTGTATCTGCTATTAATCTTCTGGGAGCACTTAGCTTATTTACTCCAAGAACGTTTGTTTATCTAATTGTATCAAACATTTAATTAAAAGAGCTCTCTGCTTGCCGCCGATGCTCTGAGGTTGCATCTGAGCTGTGTCCCACGAGGACGCAGTATCTGTTACTAGGTGTTTCCAAATGAGAGAAGGTCAGTCAAATTATTAGTGGTTCTAATTAGTTTTCCCACAAGCGGCCATATTATTTAGAACCAAAACTATGTAGCAGGGGATTTTTGCCCCTCGTCTTTGAAAATAGCAACAAGAAGCAGAGTAGACTGCCAATGATTTTCTTAAAATATCCTCGCATCCAGGACATGGCTCCCCAGTGCTTCCCCTACACCTCCGGTCATTTCTTCTAGAAACTGTACCTTTGCTCCCATAATGTGATAGAGTTGGGTCACGGGGCATGGTGCCTGTAGGGGACTTACAGGCTCCAAGGCACGTGCATGCATGCAGTCTCCTTTCATCCTACTTCAACTAGGATTCCCAACTGACAGGGTGGGGTAATGAGACCCGACAGGTTACATGCCAGGAAAGCATCTCGGAGCCTGTATGCGGCAGAGAGGCAATGAGACACAGCCTTCCATCTCTGAGTGAGGGGCTTTCTTTATCTGCTGCCTCACAGATGCCATACGTTTTAGGCGGGAGTCAGCCAGAAGTTGACCCTGAGCCAAGGACTTGGGTGAACTTGACTTATTAAGGAAGGGTGCCAGGAGAAACCAGGGAGGGAGTGGGGGATGGAGGTCAGGGGAGGGAGGAAGCCAACCCAGGGTGTAATTTTAGGCAAAGTCTCAGCCTCCGCCTGATCTAGCAGGGGGCTCTGGACAGGAAACTGCTTCGAGTTTGCCCTGCCTGGAAGCAACAGAGCAGCTGGGCGTTTGTACCCTCACACCGGTTGGTGACAGGCAACTGAAAAGATTGGGAGAACGTTCATTCCCAGTTCCTGTGCCCAAAGGCAACTGTCCTGTGAAGAGCCCTTGTAGGAGCCTTTATAGCAAAGGTGAGGCTGGGCACACAGCTGGAAAAGGGATCTCAGGACACCTTGGTAGGGCGGGCCGGGGGGATATGCCGACAGTGTCCAACATCATGATTTCTTCATTCATCAGCAAGTACGAACTGAGCACCTACTAAGTGCCAGGTAATTCTTTCATATGCATGCTCCTGAGATCCCCTTCCCCAAGTCAATTTTAAATTTTAAAATTTGATTTATTGGGGTGACACTGGTTAATAAAATTACATAGGTTTCAGGTGTACAATTCTATACTACGTCATCTGTATATTGTATGGTGCGTTCACCAACTCAAGTCAAGTCTCCTTCCATCACCAATTATCTCCCCTTTACCCTCTTCTATCTCCTGCACCCCACTTTCCCCCTGGTAATCAGCGTACTGTTCTTTGTGTCTATGAGTTTTTCGCTGTGTGTGGGGTGTTTGTTTGTTTGTTTGTTTTTGGGTTTGTTTGTTTTTTGCTCTCAGTCTGTTCTTTGTATCTATGAGTCTGTTTCTATTTTGTTTGTCACTTTATTTTGTTCATTAGATTCCATATATAAGTAAAATCATATGGCACTTATCTTTCTCTGACTGGCTTATCTCACTTAGTATAACACTCTCCAGGTCCAACCATGTTGTTGCCAAAGGTAAGAGTTCCTTCTTTTTTATGGCCGAGTAGTGTCCCATTGTGTAAATGTACCACAGCTTTCTTATCCGCTCATCTGCTGAGCTCCCAAGTCAATTTTAATCTCATTAGTTATATCTCCTTTATAGCACTCATTTCTGCCTGGGATAGTCTCCATTTACATTTACTGGTTTGCTGTTTATTTCTTCCTTCTGAAATGAAAGTTTCACAGGAGCACCAGCTCAGGCTGCCAAGTTCACCACAGTGAAGACCACTCCCAAGAGGTGGTATATTCCCTATGACCTGAATGTCATGGGGGAACCAGTGGTGAGAATGGGAAGACACTGGAGGCAGAGGACACAGAGTGCAAGGGCACCGGGTTGGAAATGAACTTGGAGTTTTTAAGGAACTGAGAGGGGGCCTTAGTGATGGAGAGGGAGGGGATATATGGTGTCAGCCAAAAAATAAAAGGCTTTGTCGCCATGGTATGTAGGATGGCATTTACTCAAGCTACAGTGGGAAGCCATCAGAGAGAGGCCACGCGCTACCTAGGGTGATGGCACTTTTGGGAGGGTGACTCACTCCAACCCCTCATCATCTCTCTGATGACAGGCTCCTCGGTACCTCTTTCAACCACAGCAGATAACACGGAAAAGCTGTGAGGGCTTTTTCTGGACTGATTTCCTATTCAGCAACTTATTGATGAATGCCCAAAGTGTATATGTAGACTTATGTCAACAAGATGTGATAGTGAGATTTTATAGAGACAAATTATCCACACACACAAGACAGAAAATCTTTGCAGCGCTGCAATCCTCATACTGCTGAGCTTGGCAAGTTGGGATTTGTTTTTGGAAGCTAGGATTTCAATAGCAGGATGCACCCGTTTACCTCCTTTCTTCCGCTCTGTGCATTTCTGAATAGCCACGCGTACCCCGCAAACCTCCTTACATTTCAGGGGAGAATGAGAGCAGGTGTGATCACTCCCGTCTCAATGCAGTAAGCGCAGCCCCATCAGGGAGGATTGGAGAGGTGGTGGAGTAAAAGAACTGGTGGGAAATGAAAAACTGATTCTTTCAAGTCCTTTGAAGACATTTCAGGTGAGCCAGGTGTGCTGAAAATGGGGCTGATTGGCCACAGAGTAAAAAGCAGCTGTCAGGCTCGGCCAGCATGGCTCAGTGGTTGAGCATCGACCCATGAACCAGGAGGTCACAGTTCAATTCCCAGTCAGAGCACAGGCCCGGGTTGTGGGCATGCAGGAGGCAACCGATCAATGATTCTCTCTCATCATTGATGTTTCTATCTCTCTCTCCCTCTCCCTTCCTCTATGAAATCAATAAAAATCTATGTTTTTAAAAAAGCAGCTGTCAGCTTCCTCTCTGGATAGGGTTTAGAGATGGTTTTTTATTTTTTTCATGTCACAGATGAGGACTCCAAGGCATGGAGTCTTTAAGAGACTCCTCCAAGGTCACAGAATCAGGAGGTACCTTTAGCCTAGAGCACCCCACTTCACCCCAAGTTTGTCCCTGTCCAGGCTCAGGATCTTCCTTGACATCACACTCTCCCAGGAAGGTGGGTTGCAACCAGGGCTGGAACCCTGAGCCACAGGGCCTCATCACCGGCAAGAGCATCTAAACAGAAGGACTGACCACGTGGGGAAACTGCTCCCAAATTAGATCTGGAACCTTTCAGACCTGGGAGAGCGAAGCTTATGGTTCTGTTCCTCACATTTTTAGAAATACGCCCATTTAAACTGAGAGGGGAAAAATCCTCTGGCTTTGTGTTTGAGTGGATGGATCTGGATGACAGCGCCTGAATCGCTCCCTTCCAGGGGAAGAGCATTTGCGATTCGCCCTCAGGCAGAGAGGATAGCAAGGTCACCTTACCTTTTTGTCACTGAGGCCCGTCACTTGGTCCACAAATTCCTCCTGGATCATGAAGGCAGCCAGATTGGCCGTGTAGCTGGCCAGAAATATGACGGCAAAGAAGGCCCACACGGACACCATGATCTTGCTGGTGGTGCCTTTAGGATTCTGGACAGGCACGGAGTTGTTGAACACCAGGCCCCAAAGGAGCCATATAGCTTTTCCAATCGTAAAAGAAGGCCCGTGGGGTGCTGCAAACGACAGAAAGGACATTCTCAGCAGCTTCCCAAAATGCGAGTGTTTAATAACTACTCGATGGCCGCTGACAGTTGCTAGAAGATGGAATTACGTCACAGTCGTGTTCCTTCATTGCCTCAGAACCACAGCCACCAAATCTCCTTTTTTTTTCTTTAAAAATTAGAATTCGCCCGATATTTCTATCTAGCTGGGGTTTTGCCACATTTCTTAAAAGAAAATAAATGAAAAACAAAAAAGGAAGAAGAAATGATTATGCAAAATGTGGGTTTGAGTGACAAGTAGTGTTATGACCAGTTTTAAATTTCGATTTGATTTCCATTGGGAGGGCAATCTCCCTGATACACGTAACGGAAGCTTTACAGAAACGTGGGGCGGGGAGGGGGGTCACCCCATGTGCTATCATATAAGAACCATGCGATTCAGTGGGACTGGTGTTTGGTATTCTAATGCGATTGCCCCTAGCACTTACTCCTATTCAAACTCAGATGTAAAGTGTTCACAATATAGGAATAAAACTCTCTCCAAATGGAGACATGAAGGAACAGAACTACAGGGCTTAATTCTTCAAACACTTCACAGATGGGAGACGCTTGGTTGCAGGATCATGGAAAACGAACTGTGCTATCAGGCACTCTTCCTCTCCGTGTACCCTGACACACGTGTGTCCCCAAGATTCTCAGATGTTCCCTGCAGCAGCCTTAACTCAAGAGGCAGAACCACATGTTGAAATGTATTGGGGTGAGGAGGGTGCAGACCAGAAAAAGTACACGTTAGGGCTTTCAGGTCTGTTTTGTACAAGAGGGGGAAAAATCAATGTATGCTCTCATTTCATTGTAGGAAAGGTCTTCCTTTAACAGAAGGTTAATTTTTATGCCATTTAAGTAAATGAAGATGTAAAAAAATGATCTGCTCAGACTTCAGTTGGAGAGGCAGGCAGAGTGGGCAATAAATCAAGTGGCAGAAGTGAATGCAGATTGATGGAAGTGATGAAGTTCTGGGCAGGGAGCCTAGGAGACACAGGCTTTTCCCACACTGGAGGCCAAATGCAGGCTACAGCGATACTTATAATATCCATACACAACGCATAAAAGAAAAGGCAATTAATTGTATTCTTTCCGACCTCAGTCTCTCCTGTTTCTCTTTGCCCAGTTTTATGATCTTCTGGGCTCATTCCCAACAGGCCGAGAACTCAAGAAAAAATAATGAGAGTCAATCCACTTAACTTCACGAACCACTTCATTTTATTAAGAGTGCATGTTGATCAGAAGTGACAGCTCTTTGGGAGTCAGGAATGGGCAGTTGCAAAGGATCTGTCCGAGACTTTTGGGAATTCCTGATTCATGAATACTATTACCAGGCTATATAATTTTGCCATGAAGTGTAGTGAAATGGAAGCAAAACCCATTGTGCACAAAGAAACAAGTAGCTGCTATTTCCTGAGTTTCCACATGCAGTTGAGCAGGAAATAGAAAGCCCTGATGTAATGGAAAGGCTGGAGAGTTCGCATGCTAGGTTCTTTACTTTACAATGATCTTCTCGCGAGTGCTTCGGCCAAAGGAGAAATTATTGCACATGATGGCCTCTGAATGATTTTTTTATTCTCTGAGATATATCTCGAATTTACCCACTTACCTCCATCTCCATTACCCCATCCAAGTCCAAACCACTGATCTTTTCTCTTGGGGATCATACACCTTCCTACCTAGTCCCCTCCTCCCAATGCTGCCACCCTTCCCATTGTCTTGACAGAGTGGCTCCAGGGACCTCCCACACCGGCCGTGTTTCATTGCCCCTCTTCCCTTCCATTATATATTGAGGAAAACCTGAAATGCTTACCACAGTCAGCAGCCTATCTTTCTGACTTCATCTTATACCATTGTCCACCTCTCTCACTCACATCTTCTCAGTTTCTTAAGCATATCAAGATCTATCCCATACCAAGGCCTTTGCATTTGCTGTTCCCTCTGCATGGAATGCCTTTCCCTCCGTTTTTCTCATGACTGAACTCTTCTCATTCTTCAGGTCTCAGCTCCAATGTCATCTCTTCCCAAAGTCCTTCCTTGTTCAACCATCTTATTTAAGTAGCATCTCCATTCCATCAATTCACTTTGTTTCCCCGCCTTCTTCTTGAGGTTTATTACAATCTGTGATTATTAATTGGTGTATTTACATGTTGTCTCCACAACTAAACTCCCAGCTCCCTGAGGGTCAGGAAGTGTCTATCCAATTTACCACATTATCCCCCTGCACCAGTACAGTGCCTGGCACATAGCACCAATTCAACAAATAGTCACCAAATAAGTGCACAAATTCATAAATAGCACAGACGCTCATTCTGCACGTGTGAAGACCTACTCTGTTGATCATCCACAGAAAATCGTCTCAGGTTCCACTCTATCAGAAAGCTCCTTACTTGCTCGTGGCATCATCCTGTTAGTGAAGACCTGGGCGATGCTCCCATTCAAATTCAACATGATTTTTATGGCATTTTTACTATGTTTGGTAGATTGGAGATGGTTTATGTGGTAATCACCACTCTTCAACGGCGAAGAAGAAGTGGGAGGAGGACAATGAAACAAAGTTCCTAATAGATTCCCAGGACTTGTTGGCTGTTTCCAACATTGGATCTTCCACATGAAAAGTATACATGCGAATTAAAGCGTCTTGTTTTTAAATAACTGTACCTTGAAGATCTGCTGTCTTCTACAATCTCAAGTCATTTTTCAGGAAGGAGAGTTGGTCCTGGCACCTTTCTAATATACCATCCACTTAGAATTTATTGTGCACTGAGGAAAATTCACTCAAAATGATGTAATGTGTTTATATACATTACATGAATATTGGCTTGTGTGGGAGCCTCTTAATAAGTTATAGCCAATGAATGCCTCCCAATTCAATTTCCTATCTACTGATTGCCACTTTGTCAAATACATTGCACTAAGGTCAGGCACTGTCAAGAGGAAAATATAACTCTTTGGGAGAAAATACCATTTTATAATTACATTTATTGTTGAACGAATATAATTATGATGCAGTACTTTGGATGATATTCTTAAACTAGATTCTGTAAAGCCATTTTCTTACACAGACTAAAGTTGAGACTCCCTTCAATTTTAATATTTCTTTTGACACAGATATTTTAAATTAATTGCCAAAAAATATTCATCAAATCTGCTTACTCAACAAATGGATACCAGTTTCCACTTAACTATGAACTCCAAGTTATAACAAGACAAAATGCTTCATTTTGTTTTATCTTTTTTTTTTTCAGCTGAAGTGAATAAGCAATACGTGTACGGGATTAAAAGTAATATCAATGACCATTTGTACAATGGCTTAGCACGGCAGATAGAGGATCTTGTGTTCTAAATACGAAACGTTAATGCGAAGTAAATAGCACTAATGTTGAATCATGTTTATGAAGGGGTTCTCACCTTTCCCTTTGGCTAAGTTTCTGTTGTATCCAACAGGACTGAAGTATTCAAAGACAAAAACAGCGATGGCGGACACGATGAGCAGCATCACAAACATCATCACCCAGACGGAGGCGCTGAATGGTTCTGCAGAGAAACAGGCCGGAGGGATGGAGACATGATCAGTTTGCTGTTCCTCGCAGCCAGGGCCAGCAGGAAGCCCAGAGGTCCATTTTCAGGCTCACCGAGAAACTTGCTCTAATGTGCATCTGATCGTTCAAAGGGAGCTAGTCATTTTTTATTCATACATTTGAACCATTCTTTATTCTACAAAATATTTGAGGCACTTTATAAGACTGCACAGACTAGGATAAAAATAGAGAAGAGCATATGACATTTTGCAAATCAGGTCAAGGATAATAAAAACAAAATAGGATGATAATACCAGGGGAGGAAGCTAGAATGCAAATAAAGAGGCCACAGGAGCCTATATAATCATAGAATCATCCAGGGAACCAAACCAAGGCAAGACTCCAATAGTCAACCATCAGGCTCCTGCCAATTACCATGAGTTTTATTGTTGTTTCAATTTTTATTTTTACATGCCAGAGGGATGGTATGCAGGGGATTCTAGAAGTAATTGGGGGAGTTACAACCTGTTAGAAAAGGATCATAATGCGTGGGGTTGATAGGAATATTGGAAGGCCGTGTCTGCACCACTGCTCACACACTCTCCCTCTCACCTCCTGCTAAGACAGGTGAGATCTCTACAATTTCAGTACCTTGTGGATGTTGGTAATGGGCTTCAATGCAATTGGAAAGTCATTTGAGGGCATTCCCATGACAATTCAATCAAAGGGCAGAGGAAATGAAGTAGTAGATAGATAGATGACTATTGCCCCTGAAAGTAGTTTCCACAAGTGCATTTTTATGTGGAGGTCACAGGAGGGCAGGCCAACTCACAAGGTTCTAAATCTTAGGACACTCTAAAAAGTAAAAGATATTCTATGACATAAATGAACATTTCTATTCAATCTGATTGAGGATATGAAAATGAGCTGAATAGAGGCATTTTTATATGTGTATGACATAGATTTACTAGAAAATCAGCAGACTAAAGTATTAATAATGAATATACAGCACTGGGCAAAATAATAGTACAATACTTAATAAGTAATAATATAAAAATAAACTTTGTGTTTCACATACTCACAACTGTATGCCTACTTTTGGCCCACCCTGGATCCTCACCAGAATGCATCATTAAAAAGAAACTGCCTTTGACACCAATGAACTTATAATCCTTTTCATCAAAAGCAAACATTTTCTGAGGGTAAAATGTAAGAAGCCCAATAATACCTTTTGGACAGTAGACATTTTATTATTTTTAAATTGTTTTTCTGATGGAGCTAGTAACACTCATAAAGAACTAGGCTGATAGCAGACTGCCTTCTTATTAAAGTCTGTGACTACCTAACAGAGCTAGAGGTCATCACAAATTCCCACTTAATGAATTTAATATATAACAAGAAACTAATATGTCTGAAGCTTTAACCGTCTTGGATACTTCTAAAACTTTGTGATGCCGTTTTTTAATGTTTGTTTTTTTTATTGTTTGATTCTGAGAGAGACGGGGAGAGGGAGGGAGAGAGAGAGTGAGAGATAGACATCGATCTGTTGTTCCACCCATCCATGCAGTCACTGGTTGACTCCCAGCCTGGCGAGGGACTGAACCTGGAACCCCAGTGCATCAGGATGTTGGTTTGGTTAGAACCCCAGTTCTAACCAACAGAGCTACCCGGTCAGGGCTATATTTGACTTGAGGAATTTCCAAACTTCCCTATAGCAGCTGTACTATTTGCAATGCAGTTTTGAAAGTGTAAATGTGTTAAAAAGCAACAGATAACAACAGAAATCACTTGACTTGTATAACACAAGATGAGCCTGAAGAAATCATTGAGACAACTGAAATTTATCTTAGTTAAATTTAGCTTGAGTAACAAACAATATTAGGTCCCCAAAATAACAGAATTTGGTAATGAGGTGTATCCAAAAAAGGGGGAGAAATAAATGAATAATGAAGAGATTAAAATTACTTAATATTAAGAATAGAGATGTTAAATTAATTCTCCAGGTCTGGTATACTAATGGGATAGTGTGTCTTAACAGAGAGTATCATTGTGATGAGCAAATGAACATGTGCATGGGAAACATTTGGTAGTATGTGCTGCGCACTGTATACATGTAACAGATTGGATGAAATAGCTGTTTGATTCTACAGCGAAGGCCAGGCTTGGTGGTGCAGGGTGCTGCTCAGGGTCCTGAAAATGCATCCTGGTGTTTAAAACATGCCCACTTATTGTTCTGCTAACTCCCCTTTCTCTGCAGGTTGCCTTCATATTATAAAACATCAGAGGAAACCCTCCCTGAATTCTATTCACATGTCAGAATCTGTGAATCCACAGTGGGCTTCATTTGGCGATTGATTCATCCTAGTCACTGACTGGTCAGAAAATTAGGTGGAAGCTGAGCAAGTAACTGATGTCAGATGATTTCCAACTTGGAAGGGACAACATCTATCCCTTGACTTGTGTGCATGGCACAGAAATAAGTGTTCTGCTGCAGGATTCTGATTTTAGTAAGTTTAAATTAAGTTCCTATTAATGCCCCGAAGGGTTGCTATTGTCAGACAGTACACATGCACACACGCGCGCACCACCCCCCGCCCCACACACACACACCACTACAACAAAGAAAAGCACTAGAACAGTGGTGAAGCACTATCTATAATGCCTAAGGAGTGACCCAGAAATATGTTTAGATAACTCTGGATGACATCCTCTACTGGCTTCAAACAGATTCAACATTTATCCATGAGGGAACTTCAATCTATGAGACTCCAGGTCAGCATTTCTTTGGATCAAAGAAACCAACCTGCTTAGAAAGTCTTTAGAATTAAATGAATGGAAATATTGCAAGAGATGTCATCTCTGTCCTTGAAGAGCCGCTGGTTACATTTTTACACAAAAGCTTAGAGGCATTACCTGCAAGGGTTTCAGATGTGAGCTAATGGGGCTTGCGGAGGAGAGAGAATAGGAAATAATGAAGAGCCATGCAATCAGATTTTGAATGTTTTGGCTCTTCCAGATGACTGAGCCAGCGAATGGAAAAAATGTAGCTTAGCACGCTTCATTATGGCTTTGAAAACCTGCAGATAATGACCGTAAATAAAGAGGTGCACAGTCGATCGAATAGGGATATAATTTAGTGACTAGGAAAAATATTAAGCCTACTGGGTAAAAACAGCTTGGGAAATATTGTCCTCCAGCTACAATTTATTTTGTTTTATTTTATTTTAAAAATACAGTAGGAAGAGTAAGGGAAAAAGAAAGTTTGACTAAATTTAGCAAAAATACTTGACTTTTTATGGAAATGTTCTACTAATGCAGATAAGATAAAAACCTAGGGAAACTGGGTTGAAGCCAGATTCAATATCAGCGACGGATTTATATGAAACAAGCCAACTGATATTTTTGTCTCTCTGATTGAACTGGAAAGAAACTTCTGTCTAGCTCACTAAAGAGATACGAGGACAATTTGTGAAAAGAAAGAGATCTCTTTCCATGAATTCACCTCTTCCAACCCTTTCCCAATCTCCAGGGCCAAAGATCCCTATTAAAGGGTCTGATAGGAAACTGGGGGTTGGAGGGATGACTGAGAGTGACTAATGAGTGAGAGTCTATCCAATAATTATTAAGATTCTGTACATGTTGCATATAAGGATCAGTGGTTTGAAATATGGATCATATTTCATGGTATGGTGAGGCTCCCTTCTTAAGACATGGGCATTGTTATCCATATCAGACAAAGGCACAAAAGGAACACAGTGAGGTGTATATTTGTAAAGGTCTACAATATGCCAACAAAGGCTATGACATTTGAAGCAACGGGTGCAAAATAGTAATCCAGTGAGTGGGATGGATTTCAACAGCTTAAATGGATTATGAAAAAAATGAAAATGGTAAATCCATGTTTCTGTGAGTCAGGCAATATCCAAAATCCTGCTCGTCAACATTTCACTCAGGAGAATAAAGAATAAAAGTGTTGTTGGGTGCTGACATTACAAGGAAATGAAGACAGTGGAGGAATAAGGCAATGGGCTGGGAGATGGTGTCCCCAAATTGGCTCTCGTCTGCAATCTTAATTCTCTAATAGACACAGGGTGCGTTGTTGTTGTTTTTATCTTTTTTAAAAAGTGATAATTTAGTTGAACTTAATCGAACTATTTTTCACCCTCATACTGTTTTCTTCTAGGAGAAAATGTTCATCTTAACCTTCCCAAATTTAGGACAAAACCACTAAGAGGGGAATGTCGAGGGCAAGTTCATCTGAATTCCATGGTCTTCAAGATAGCCACTATCAAAAAATATTCATGCTAACCAAACACTCAACTTAACCTTTCTCTTTAAAGAAAAAAATAAATAATGCTTGGCTATGTTCTGTGCAGTTTCAATTACTCTAGTCAGGCTACCTATAGCATATATATTTACAGTGCTAAATAAAACCAGATGACAGAAAATACAAATCTACTTTGCCTTAAAACAATCTTATGTAAAAACATGAATTTATGAAATAGTTAAAAGGAGCATAAATAGAATTTCCTCCTTCATAAGCCATTCAGCTTAAAGGATAGTCATTTAGTAGTAAAATATGACTGTTAATTTTAAATCAGTGTTTACTCTTCAGACTACTCCTATGTTGTTTATTAGAGTAGTGGTATAAATCACTGTGCAGTTACCATTATTTTCACTCTTATATCCAGAAATAAGTGCCTCTCATTCTAGTGAGGGATGGAGGATAGGGATATAGATGCTCAATAATGGTCTATGGGATGACTTAAATTCACTGGGGACAGACAGGTTTATACTTTAAATGTCTTCAAGACTTTAAGAAATATGTCTACTGATCTACATTCTACACAATCAAGTTCAGTATCTAAATATGTGATTGTGTTTTCAGCAGATTTTTCCAAGTTCAAGATAAATGAAAGATGTTCACTGAGGAAGAAAGTGAATTGGGATCATTCAAACATGACATGTTTTGGAATATGTTGATGTGCTTAAAATGGAACTGAACCAGTTCCTACCTGGTTCCGTCCTTGGAGCAAACAAGACAAAATACCCCAAGTTCATTGTAGGAAAACAAGAGAGACTATGAAGGTCAGATACCTAGAAAAGCAGAAGGCGACACGGTGCCGTTGCTTCTTGAAACCATGACACTGATTCCCGTCTCCACAAAGGGCACAGAGAAGTCCACCACTTCCGAACGCTCCTCATTGATGGTGAGTGAGCCGACTGCCATGACCGCCCGCTGATTGACCACCTGGGTACAAGGTGAAAAAGCACAGCCCCTTTATTTATCATCCCCCCAACCCCGAGGACCTCAGGCCCGAAGTCTGAAGCGGAGCCCGTGGGATGAGAAGAGAACTTACTTCCCCGATCATTCCATTCCACACGTTGTTCACTTTTTTGCCATGCTTCCCATTCGTCACCAGGTAGAGGTCATAGGTAAACTTCACAGTTCTGGAAAGCTTCTTTAGGATGTCAATGCAGAACCCCTTGCAGCATTTTTTCACATTCACTCCCTCATTGGTGGAATTACTGTAGAGGAAAATCCCAAGACCACAGACTGTTAGTACTGGAAAATTTGTTCATAATCATTAGCTACGCTCTTCCGCTACTTTTCACATGGGAAATTGCAGCTCAAAGTGAGGAAGAGGCTTTCCCAAGGACGTGCGGTGAGTTTATAACAGCAAAAGTGGAAAGTGCTCTTAATTATGAGATAATCATGACAACGGCTAACAGTTATTGAGTAATTACTACTGGCTATGCACTGTGCTAAATGCTTTGTACTAATTATTGGATTAATCTCCATGACATTTCTCTTAATTAGGTAGTATTTGTATCCCGATTACACACTGAGAGTGACTGCCTCTTATGTTTAAAAGTTTATAGCACATGTACCCTTTTCGGACCAGATCTGGTCTAAGCTGACTTATAAAAACTTCCTGGAAAATGGAAGAGGATGTGAAATTCACAGGGGAAGGAGAGTTTGCGGGACCCTATCACTGCAGACAGAGGTGCGCATCCAGAGGGACAAAGGAAGGGTGACTGGATTAGGAAATGCCTTTCCTTATTCAGAAAAAAAAAAACCCGCCTCAGCTAAGAATCAGGAGACGTGAGATTTACCCCCAGCCCGAGTCCAGAGATTCATGTCTCATGATTGAGTCATCTGTCTAACCAGGGCACCTTCATTCTTAACATTTTCCCTCCCTACCTACATGGCAAGGAGTGTAAAAGGTGACACTATTAAATAACAATGCCCTTAATCAGAAAAACAAACTTTGTTAAAATACAGTTGTTGTTTTTTAAAACTGTCTTAAAAGCTATCATAATCTACCAGGGTTATAGTCATTGCTCTGTGCCTGCCACCTTGCTTTATTTACCTGAAAAAGTCATACTCAAAGTCACCCACAAAAATGCCTTACAAAAATAAGGAAGCAGAGGCCTTGAAATTGTTAGCCAAAAGCACGTAGAGACAACTCGTATAGGAAGATTGGAACCTCTCTGAGCAGCACGGTGATTCCACCTTGCACTTGGCGATTCTATTAGCTCAACTCTCTGCCTTTGAGTCATGCATGCCATGAGATATGTGCTCTGCTTGAATATCCCATTGTTGGCACATCTACACTCAAACTATTACCTGAGCATAGAAATGATGTTTACAGAAACCCAACCTCATAATAGGAAAATACCTACGTTTCCACATCATATGAAAAAGTAGGCTATATAGTGCTATCTACAGAATGATCACAGCTACATAAAAACAGATGCGCTTAGGAAATATCTGAGTGGAAAAACAATAAAATATGAAGCCCGGCTATTTTTGAATGGTAAAAAATGTTTTTTCCTATTTATCCCCCCTTACATTATCTATAGTGAGTACATACTACATACATAAATAGATATAAACACACATCAAGCACCATTAGTGTAGATCTGCATCTATACCCAATAGTACAAACAAATTTGATCAAATGACTGTGAGATGTGAAATTGGGTTGCCAAATGAAATCTTTATTTCAATGTTTTGCTTATCTCAGAATCACAGATCACCTATTCTGAATGGCTGTTACACCATTGCCTCCTTCCTATCCTGTCCCCAATCTCTGCTCAACCAACTTGCTTCTCTCAGCCAGGACCACCATGGAGACCTAATATCTAGCCTAGAGGCTGGATACCCTGCTCTGACCCTGCCACCCTCAGCTTAGGGGTCATGGGAGGTTACATCTGTGTACATTTACATATAATGACTGGTGGACTCAACTCCACAGTGTAACAGGAAGTAGGTACCTTGCCTATCCCCACAAGTTCCCAGAGCAGAAGGGGGCCAGGCTGGAATTACAACTGCTATAAGCATATTAAGTTAATGGCATGTCCAGATATGATTTCCTTCTTGGTATCTGTGACTCTGAAAAATGTGTCAAAATCAAATTATCTTTCTTCCCGGCCGCTATAGGCCGTGCATCGATGCCTCTTGTCCACCTCTTCCCATTTGTGTCTCCCTCACTCTCTGCTGCTTTGTTTCTTTTATCTTCCTTCCCCTGGTCAAGATTCCTGGAAGAGTTTGGACAAGAATTACAGATGCCCCAGGTTTAAGATTCAGGGTCACAGGCATATGATGACTTATATGATTCTTTGGCCTCCCTGGGCACCTTAACCAGTTTATGAGTTAATTATACCCCCACACCTCCTAATATTAAGTTGTTTCTAGATATGAAGTCATGGAATCATTTTCAGCCAACAAGCACCACTGAGTACCTACTCTGTGCATGACATAGAACTAGGCCCTGGGGACATGGGACGAAGAAGACATGCAGCAAATGCAATAGTTGAATTTATCATGGGCGTTATGGAAACACAACCAGCTTGTAATGGGAAGCTTGTAGTTGATTCCTATAGCAGCCCGTGTGTGTGTGTGTGTGTGTGTGTGTGTGTGTGTGTGTGTGTGTATGACTTAATTACATTGACATCTGAGAAATGGTGCCCCTGCACTCTCTCTCATCTCTCTCCCATCACCCAAAATTAAAGGGTGACTCATCAAAACAAATACAGGGAAAGGGATCCAATAAATCCAATTCTTTGGCTCTACAGTTTCCCAGTGTGGCCCCTGGTTGTGAGCATGGCCACACCAGTCAGACAGAACTGCTTTCAGATGCCAGGCCTGCTGCTAACAACCACAAACACTCAGAGAGTCTGTTCACTCACAGCCTCAGTTTGCTCTTTTGTAAACTGAGAAGGCTAACACTTACCTTGCAGGATAGCAGAGGAGATAAAGTACCTAAGCACCTCTCACATAAGCACTTAAAACTATATCTCCTCTCCTCTCACCAATGACTTAACAGTTTTGGGGATTAATTGATAGTATGGCCACATTTCTTTCTATGCAGCAAGGCCAGATAATTTTTCCTTAACATTCAACTAGCAGGCTAGAAGAATACTCTGATTTCTCAGCTCATTTCCTATTGCCTGTGATTTTAGAAGACTTATGGGTGCCCTCAAGACCCTACCGTTTACTAGAAGTGTGAGACAAAGGATTTTTCTCTGGGAGAACAGCATCAAGAAAACAAACACAATCATGTTATCTAATAAGAATCCTTTTTAGAATCAATTGGTCTGCCTCATGTTACCTTTAAGAAGTGCAATTGATCCAATCTGTGTTAATGTTGGGATTAGTGGAACCTAGTAATTTTCCATTGCTTTCAGGTAAAACAAAGACTAACGCTGTCTAGATGCACAGTAAACATTTTATGTCCCCAAGTGAGAAAAAGAAAGCTGCGAGTCATCACCTCCCACGGGAACTAAACATGTGAATCTGAACCTGTTAATGTGTTTATATTCTTCAGGGAAAAGTCAATTCTTTCAGAGAGAGTAATTTATTTGGGGGTTCATTTTCTCCATACAAATGTGACTCAGGACTTGGTGATCTATTGCTTTTGGCTCCAGGGCTTTTGCTTTTAAGAATTTAAGCCCTATTATTGATTGTAAAGCGCAAGAGGTCCTACTTACTGGCCATACTGAATAGAAAAGGCATTGTTATCATACGGGAGGCTCCTCACGGGGAGGTTATACTCTTTGCTCTGTGCCAGCCACTTCGTTTTCTTCATATGACCAAGTTCTGCTCAAAGAACACCCATTCAAATCAAAACATTGACAACTTTCCCATTGTTTCCCCAGCTCATCACTCTATAGCACTGCCCTAGCCTTCATTCTGTTTCCCAAACTCGATACTCTCTTTCCTGCCTCAGGGCCTTGCAACTGCTGCTCCCGCTTCCTGGAAGGCACTTCCCCACATTTGGCTCCTTTTCATCCTTTATATCTGACCTTAATTCTTACCTGTGTGAGCTAAAGAAGCCCCACATCCATCAAGCTACCATCCTCTCACACCACCTTCTTTACATCCTTCCCAAAGTTTATCATAACATGGAACTGCCCTGGTCCTTCATTGTTGAGTTGATTTTTACCTGTGCCTGCTTCATGACTGCCAGACTTTTGTCTTTTGTCTTTCCTGTCCATTGATGCATCCCCTGTGTCCAGAACTTTGCTTCACTCATAAAGTGTGCTTAATGTGTATTTATTTATTGATCAATTCATTCAAAATTTCAGTGCCAAAGAGGCTGACAACTCCAAAAAGGCTGATCATTATCTTTTGAATAATTTCAGAATTTCAATTCCAAATTGGCTGAGTATTGATAACAAAGTGTTCTCCAAACTGAAGTGTGCCTTCAAAGTATATTTAGCAATCATATTTTTAAAAAATTATCTCTATCCCAAGAGCTGAGCTCTGGGGATTTGCATCTTGTATAATGTAGGAAAAAATATCCTTTCCCCGTGATTTCAAGCATCATCAATATCAGTATGTCATGTTTTGTGCTTGTCACTGGGGGTACCAAATTAATAAGTCACATTTCAAATTTGGGCAATTAACAATCCAAGAGGAAATACAGACAAACTATAAGCCACACCAAAAAAATGGTAACAAAAAAAGAGATAGAGTTGTAGGGACTGGATGTTGGTGTTCCTTCAAATTCATATGTTGAAACCTAATCCCCATTGTGATGATATTTGGAGGGGGGACCTTGAGGGTAATTTGGTCATGAGGGTGAGGCTCTCATGAATGGAATTAGTGCCCTTATAAGAAGAGCAAGAGAACGTGTTTCCTCTCCTCTGCAATGTGAAGATAGGACGATAAGCAGAGGACCCTCATCAGACAATGAATCTGCCACACCTTGATCTTGGATTTCCAGCCTCCAGAACTGTGAGAAATAAATGTCTGTTTTTTAAGCCACGCAGATTATGCTAATTTATAGCAGCCTGACCTGACTAAGACATGGACACATATCCAGAGTACTGCTGCCGTATGGAGAACTAACCCAACTTGGGGAGGGAGTAGTTAAGACTTACAGAACAAGCAAGAACTAGTGAGGCGAAAGCAGACAATCAGAAAATACTCTGAACAAAAAGAGTAGATTTCCATCCAACCCTAGGCCTTTTCCTTTGGTGAATCCACCACAAGGGCGGTATTTTTGTTTATGTCTGCAATAGCAAAGTCTATAATCAGGGCCTTGGACTTGGCCATGAAGACTTGTGCTTCTCCAACAGGTTTATATGTTAGGGAGAAGCCTTCACCAGAGGCTCTGATACAAAAGTCCATTCCTCTTTCAATTGTAATGAAAGAGGAAGTGACATAGGTGCCATGCTTGCTTGCTGCTGCTAAGCTGGGATCTGCCAGGAGGTCAGGTCCCCTTGATCACACCAGGAAGTCATTTGTAAGGTGTGTGTTGATCCCCAAATGGAGAGAACTTTTGGAAAGCTTGGATGTGGGAAATATAAAAGAGATGGGAGGAAGTGAAAGGGGTGGGGCCGGGGGAGGGGGGCAGCCAGAAAAATACAAAGAAATTAATTGTTTAAGGAAAGACTGAAAGAGAGGGTTGATTCAGCATAATGGCTAGAACATGGACCAGCCTTTGAGTCCTGCCTCTTCCATTTACCAGCTGAATGGCTTTAAATGCGTTTCTTAATTTTTTCCCATAACTCCATTGTTATCATGTCTAAACTGTCAAAATCGCTTACCTTGCATTGCGGTTATTGAAATTAAATAAGGCAAACCACTTGGAGTAGTTCCAGTTTAAGTATTTAAAAAAATCTATCATTATATTATACTACTTATAACTGGGCCTATTTTACATTACACACACTGTATTCTTTTATAGATTTTGTTATGATCAAGGACACATGCCATTGAAAGGATTGGGCACATTCAACGTGACAGGGTCCCCGACTCACTTGATTTTGACGAACTTCCGACAGGGTACAGTGTTCCTCACACACGACTCGGTGAGCGGGTCTATGTCTTCCACGATGACAAAGGGGGCCTCCTCGAGGGTGACAATGCTCAGGTGGTTGTCGTCCGGCTCACAGTCCGAAAAGGACTTGTACCTCGGCCACACGGCGTGCCTCAGGCTCAGGGTCTGGTTCTCCCACTTGCCCACCTGCATCATAAAGACAAAGACAGGCCTGTGCTTTCTAGCACAACTGGTTTCTGGAAAGGCGAGTCTTTCCCTGTGAGAGGAGCAGGAGAAAAATCCATCCCTCTTAAGGGTTTTTCTGCTACTTGCCTCAATGTATGCATCTGCTTTACATGCTGAGAAAAATGGGGACAGACGGAGAGCAGAATATTGGGCACAGACTCGCCCCAGGCTAATGACATCACGGGGGGTTTGCCTCAGCACTAACACAGTGGTTCTCAACCTTGGCTGCACATTAGAATCCCCGGGGAATCTTTTTAAAATCCTGATTTCTGGGCCTCATCCTCCGGAAATTCTGTTTCTTTGTTATGGGGTGGGGCCACAACATTAGTAACAAAGAAACAGAATTTCCGGAGGATGAGACCAAAAATCAGGATTTTAAAAAGGTTCCCCGGTGATTCTAATGTGCAGCGAAGACTGAGAACCACTGCACTAACACTTTTGGAGCTCCCCAGGTGATTCCCGAATCCTTCCAGAGTTCAGGATCACTAATGTCATGAAAACAGCACGAATTTTAGAATCAGAGAGACCTGGGCTTGAATCTGCAACTCCGCCACTCATTAGCTGTACAACCCCAGGCACGCTCTTAATCACCACGAGCATCTGTTTCTCATCTGAAACTATTCCACCTGCTTTAAAGGTGCCTAAAGTTGGCATAATTCCAACTACTTTATAAAGATGTTGTGAGAATTTTTTATTGATTTGAGAGAAACATCAATTTGTTCCACTTAGTTACACATTCGTTGGTTGATTCTTGTATGTGCCCTGACCCGGAATCGAACCCACAACCTTGGAGTATCGGGATGATGCTCTAACCAACTGAGCTACCCGACCAGGGCAGGATGTGTGGGAATTAAATAAGGCAATTATGAAAAACATACAGCACAGTGCCCGGCACAGAGTTAAGGACCACATACTTTTCCTTTTAAGTATAGAAGAGAGACAATGAAAAGCTTGGAGTTTTTTTTAGTGCTATAAAAAAAAAAAAAGAGGAAAGGGGAAAGGAAGATGTAGAGGGAAGATTAGGGGGAGAGACAACACCAGGGGACAGAGCAGGTGAGGAAACAGAAGCAACACTTCACGCTCAGATATGGTTCTATTTAAGTTGCAGATTGAGGTGAACTTTTATTAATCCAGCACCGAGTGGAGACTTCTGCTTAGTACACATCAAGACCTGTCAAAACAGAATCGATGTGTTCCCTCTGAGCAGCAGCCGGCATCTTAGTGAAATCAAATTAAAGGCTGTGTGTTTTGAACTTTAATTTTATTTGACAGCTTGTTGGCACTGTTCGCGTGCACGTGGGAGAAAGCTGCCCCCAGCATGGCACTTTCTCTTTCTTTGCCCTCCTCCCACGTGCAATTGCTTGACATCACGGGTCAGCCTTTTATTTGTAATATCAGCCTCAAGAAAAAGGCCTAGTCTGAAATGCTAAGTGCCAACTCCAGGCTCGCCTGTGTCGACATGACCCACCGGCCTCTCCCCCTGGAATGTAAGTGTCGCCAGAAATGAATCGCAGGTCCTTCAAGAGAATTCAGACTCTCTGGGTACCAGGAGAGGTGAAGGAGTGGGAGGGGGTGGATAAGGCAGCCAATGTTCTCTAAGATGACCTCATCATTTGGACTGGAAAATCTTTGCTTCTTGTAGAGAAATATCCCCTGTGGCTAATTAAAAAATTGTCCAGCTTCACAGGTACCTTTCTTTTTAAGATAGGAAGGGGAGGAGAGTAGTTTGGTCAAACATGTTCATCTACCCATGCTGTGATATGTAACACTAGCTGGAGAGAATGTTGAGCGCATCAAATTCTTCATTCATTCAACACGGATTTATTGAACACCAACTCTGAGCTGGCACCAGCCCGGGAACACTGATAGATAAAAACAGAACAATTCCTTCCTTCTTGGAACTATCAGTTGGCTGCAGGTCAAAGATCAAACCTTTAATAATAAATATAGTAAAGACATATCCAAACTTTTCCTTTTGGGGAATGTTATACCAACTCCCCCCTTGCTTTTTTTCCCAGAGGCCTGGTAGTTCAGTGGACAAGCAAATGGTTTTTGGAGTCAAACAGAGCTAAGTATTAATCATGGTTTCTCTACACATACTCACTACATATACATATACACAATTTCTCATTGGCTGAGTAGCCTTGGGGAAGTCACTCAGCCTCTCTGAGATTCACTTTCTCTATCTGTAAAATTCAGATAATAACAGGATACACCTTTCAGGATTATATGAGCCAAAAATATGCAAGAAACATTGAGCATAGAACTTAGCACGTACCATACATGGTAGGTGCTATTATTTTACTATTGTTGTAGTAGGCATTTAAGATGTAGCTCAAATATCACATAATCTTTAAAGGAATTCCTGTCTTCCCTAGTAATACAGAACTTTGCGCCTATCTCCACCATAGCATTTGATGTTATAATTGTAACAACATCCCTTTGGGGCCAGGAAATATGGCAATATCACCCAATATCCTACATGGTGAGGATTATTATTCCAACTCACAATTCAGACAACGAAAGCACAGCTAATAAATGGTGGAACCAGAGCAATAGTATGGGGCTATCTGAATCTAAAGATGTTTTCCTACTAGTGCATCTATTAATGGATCTGCATTCATCATATTATAGCTCCAGTACCCTTTCTTCCTTCAGAGACAAGCACTGAAGTCACCAAAATACCTAAATAGAGGCAAAGACTGTTTAGCTAGCAGATCTATGGTGATGTCATGGACCACATCTCATACCCTACACAGTGGGAGGCAGGCAAAAGCTCCATCCAGCTCAAGGCTGACTCACGGAGAAAGAGGTTGCAAAGGTTTATGAGTTCCCAGAGTGCAATAACTTCCTAAATCTTCTCTCTCTCCATTCCCAACATGTCTAAGAAAGCACCCATGTGTCGGCCAAGGAGGGTGAAAGTGAGTGGTGGGTGGAGAAACTTGACCAGAAGCTGAAGTTGCTGTGTAAACAATGCCCTAGATCCTCAGAGCTCTTGTCTACTTCTCTGAGTCTCACAGGCTCCCATTCCAGACACCAAATATCTCAACTTCAAGATTTTATATACCAGACAGAGGAGAACAGACATCCTTATCTTTCCCCTCTGATATCCTTATTTCAAAGGACTATAAATGAGTCCAGTGTTTATAAACATAAGTATTTATTGAGTGGCTACTAGGTACCAAGAACTGTGCTAGACACTAAGGGTATTATAGAGAAAACAACAAATTACTTGCATGGAATTCTTACGCTAATTGGGAAGACACACATGGGTCAAATAATCACCCAAAAGTATATATCATGCATACCAGGAGGAAGAAAAAAAAGTGAGTAGGTATATGAGAGAAGAGAGGGGGGAAGAAATCACAGGAGGCTTCCCAGAGGAGGTGACATAAACTGAGATTACAAATCTAAGATGAGAGGGTGGGGAGTAAGAGGGAGTGAAAGAAGGAAGGAAGAGTACTCCAAGAAGGCATGGGCCAGATGATGCAAAACTTTGTAGGTCCTGTCAAGGAGTTGAGATTTACCCTAAGAGTTAATTTAGTCTGTTTAGCCAAAATGGAAAATGATATATGGAAGTCATCATGAACATATTTCTGTATATTACCTGTCCAAAAGTGAAGGTTCTTTGCTTCCTCAATCCAAATTCTTCCTTTTTTATGAAAAAAAATTAACTCATACAAAAGAGAGTAGTAAAATGAATCTCTATATTCCCATTATTTTGCTTCATTAGTTACTAACTCATGCCAGTCTTGTTTCATTTATACTCCGCCACTTTTTCCATGCTATATTGAAGAAAGTCCCAACTATCACGTCATTTCATTCACAATTTCTTACTTTGATTTGAATATCTAACCTCCATTTGCTTAATAATAGTATACCTCAACAATCTATATATTTATGTATTTGCTACACTTATTAGATTATAATTCCCCAGTCTAGCAGAGATTGATTTCTATGTCCCCAGCTTCGAACTCAGGCTCTAGCACAAGGAGGGATTTAATGGATAGTTGTTAATGGAATGAATGAACACACAGCTTGAATTAAAAAAAATGTTCATGAGACAGAAAATGGTAGTAGATTGATCAGTGTATCCTCATATGCCTCAGCTATGGAATCTTGTACCCTAAGGAGTGACGTAGGCTGAGCCAATGGGAATTTTCCCTGGGACTTTTGCTGGGACTAGTAAGATAGGGTGGGCATGACAAAAGAACCAATCAGAGATTAAACATTGAGCTAAAAAATAGAGCAGAGATCAATAAAATCTTGATGTATTGCCTGAGGTTTTATAACAATAAAAGTTGAAATCACTAAGCACTTATGTATTAGATACCATTCTTAGCACTAGTTTAATTCTTTATACGCAAGAAAAAAAGTGAGGGCAGATGATTTTTATCTCTATCATGAATTTTTTTTGTACTTAAAAACATTCCCAAACTCACCCAAATAGACTGTGTGAGAGAAGAAAAAAATTTTTTACCTTCAAAATAAACTGCATTTTGGTGATAAACCTTTGAGTGTTTTCAGCAAGTATACTGAAGTTTTGAGGACAAAGAAAACTAATTGACCTCTGATGGAGAAAAGTTATTTTGTTAAAAGAAATATGAAAAGGGGAAATTAACTTTGTAATGATTTTTTATCCATTCTTATTAATAAAATTTAAATTCACTTTTAGAAAGCGAATTGCTCTTAAGGTCCTAAAAAGCATTTTGTGAAAGGGCAGTGATTACTCCTTGAAAGGTTCAGCCAATACTTTCCCAGGACAGAGTCTCTTAAGTTAATATTTACCCCTTCGTGTCTGGGAAAATTCAGAGACATGTCATCTAGGCTGCAAGAAAGTAGGTTAATAGATGTGTGTGGCTCTCCTCTCAGAGATATGAGTGTTGGATCTTATTTGATCTATTCACAAAATGCTTACAAGAGACAATTAAAATCTCTTTATTACTGGCCTCCTGGTTTTC